TTATTATGTCAATGGTTCATGTTCTGTTATGTTCAAGTTGCTGAGAGGCGGAGCCGAGAGTGTCAGTCAGAGAAAGTAAGAGAAAGAGAGTCAGAGTCGGTCTGAGTCAGAGAAGATGAGTAGAGTGAGAGAGTGGGAAAGGGGATAGAGTGTGGAGAAATCCGAGGTGTGATTAGAGTTAGGAGTGTATTAATAGAAGATTGTTGTTAATAATAAATTTACCTAATTAAGATATTCATGAATCACTATCAAATTCTGTAATCAATAAACTACAGTAGTTATATTTAAAGGACTTTGAAGTGTGCTCTGAGTCTTGACGGTCAAGCAAGGGGCACGAGGTGCAAACACCACAATGGGTCCTAGAGCAAATCAAGTGTGGACTATCTTTGAAGGCAAAAATTATGAAGCTGAGGTTGTCCTATTTTGGGCAAATCATGGAAAGGCAGGATTCTCTGGACAGGACAGTTATGCTAAAAGTTGAAGACAATAGGCAAACAGGAAGACCAAACATGAGATGAATTGACTCCATAAAGGAAACCACAATCTTGAGTTTGCAGCAGCAGAACAGGATTGTTGGGACATTTTTGCTAATTCATTGCATAAGTTAGAGATGCCTTGATGGCATGTAACAACAACAAAGTGTGGCATTAAAGTTACTCAGTTTCCACCTCCAAGGCTGAGCAAAGCAAATAAATTCCGTCATTTATTGTGTCATTTTGTGGTGACACTGATTATCTTTAGACTTCAGAAACCCTAGAGACTGGGATTAGATTTGTGATTATCAATCCAACCTTGCAAATGTTGAGATTGGCTGAGTCTCTATTGTGTCGTAACAAGCGTCAAAGGTGATATTTGCAGAACCACCATTGGCTTTGTTGATATTGTTTTGCAAGGCAATAAAAAGTCAGTAGCTCTTATTCTGAAGCAGAAGAATGTAGGCAAATTTTGCTTTCCTGGGACATGTGAACCACAAAGAATGCAGCATTCTCCCAATTTGGTGGACTGTGCAACTGAATTTTGATAAGAAATCAAGAAAAAGCACTTAATACGAGCAGATGTTTCTACTTATGTTACACAACACACATACCTATACTTCACACACACAAGTATTGTGTGTGTGATGTTGTGTAACTTATGTTACACAACACACATACCTATACTTCACACACACAAGTATTGTGATGGCAATCCTCTTCTTCACAAAGATGGGATCCCTCATCTCTTTCCCCGAAGAGGTGCATACAGCTCCTCCACAATTTCCACATATGTGAAGCAGGTCATAGAGAAATGTCTCAGCCACTACATCATTTCATATGCGAACAACAAACTTCTCTCACAATTATATTGAGAAGCTGTCTCAATATAATTCAGTACTGGCAAAATACCATGTGCTCCCAGAGACATTATGTACTGGCAAAGACATTATGAACTGGAGAGATCAAAAGCAATTTTTAACTTGGACAGCAAAGAAGGATAATGTCCTTTGGGTGTTTTGCAGATAAAGCAAAGCAAGCAGCAGTGTTGCATCTGAGCAGTTAATGATGTCGGTCCCATAAAATGGACCAGGGAATACAGGAGCACGGTTGACAATGCAGCACTTGAGTGTTGGTGGGGAGAGATGGTTGGAAGTGAACGAATAACTTTCCTATTGTCATGGAGTACCAAGGAGCAGAAGGCTGTATGACAAGCATTTGTGCACATGTGTAGATGCACACCCAGGCATTTTTTGAAAATCAAATAAAAAGACCATCCAACCTATGTATGTCAATAAACTATACTGCACCTTGAGATGTTGCCTCACATCTCCCTAGACACACTGCCCACATAACCCAAATTCAGGAAGAGATTAGGAGTGTGTGATGCTGCAATTCTGAGTTTGGATCAGGAAAGTAAATATCATACTTATGTGTGCTCTATAGGGTTATCACAGAGAGACTACAATAAAAGCAGCAGTGCACCACCAAGAGAAAAATTCCCCATGTGGATTCAGCTTTGAAGATGCCACAAGACTTTGTTTGCTTGTTACTTAAATTAATGAAGGCCTGATATAGTATTTATATTTCCAACACACTCTTCTTCTGTGGAACTCAAAACAACATACATCAGAGGCAAGTAGAAAGCAGATTGGGACCTACAAAATCGCTGAGGAATTTGCAGTGTATCACCAATGATTACCAACTCCCAAGTCTTTAAAATAAAATTAATAATAATAATATTGAAAGCCTATATTCCCCTCCCAAATAAAGTTTCAAAGCTTTAAAAAATCCAGGCTTCAAGAATAGCAGTGGTGCAAAGGAATGTATGTGTAAGCTCCAACTCTAGTACCAAAGCATGTTCTTGTGATGCATGTGTGTTTGTAAGTACTCTGTGTTCTATTCTGCACTCACATTCCTAAGTCAATGCTATGCACTTGACTCCAGTTGGTGGAGCTTGGGTTTCTAGTGAAAAGCAATGTATATCTTAAGACTAAGATCTACCTGGCCTTGGTGTACATAAGGCATTCAAGCTCTGGCCAGACACAGATCTGCTGCGTCACATGTCTTCATATCATCCTCTCATACCTGAATGTAGGTGAATTATCAAATGCCACCTAATAAGTTTCTGGGTGAGGTCTGACTAGAGATGCCTGGAATCCCCACTTTTAGTCACTATACCAAATCAACTTTTACTGTTGTTTTACTTCCCTCCAGTTTTCTGTGCAATGCTGACTTGGCTATCAAAGTTTTGTGGCTTTAAACACTAATGAACTGATTATTGACATAAGCTTTTGTGCAATATAGAAGCTCATGCCATAATAGATTGGTTAAGAATTTAAAATGTCACAAGATGCTTCATTTTTACTTCAACTCACTAACATGGGCCTCTAAAAGAAATGTAGACCAATGTTATCTAAAAATAAATTCTTCTTGGACTACATTTTTCGTACAATAGCAAATCCTGAACTTAAAAACTCAATCTAAAATATTTTTGTGTAACTGATAAAAGCAATTCTAGAAAAAAATAGTTTGGCCATTGTCACCTTAATTTACAACCTGAAAATGAATTTTTCATGAAGTTTGTTATAAACATTACACTGCTCATAATTAGTTTTGACTTTATTAAGTGTTTAAATATTAGGTGTCACAGTACATACCTACATTTAGTAAAATGCAGTGGATATTAAAGAGTGAAACCCCTCTATAGGTGTTGTGCAGAAGTTTCACTATATGTCAACCCGCTTACAGGCCACTTTTACCATTCAAGAAGTATTATTTTAGCTAATGAAATTCGATGCATACAAACAATTGCACATACAAAGGAATTCTACACATTCACTTATACTGTAAGTTAAATTCTGGGAGGTAAGTCCAACTGTAGTCCTAACCAGAAGAGACCCAATTATTTCTTAAGTAAGCTCTTATAGATGTTCCACTGATCTATATAAGTAGGAATACCAATTAAGATTTCACTGACAATGTTTGATTGGACTTCCAGCCTACAAAGTGTTTAAACTGCAACCTTAAGCTGAAACCTTATAAATGCTCACATGGGAACAAGCCTGCTCACACAGTGTAATTTTTATTCCGAGTAAATATGCCCAGGATCCCTCTGTTGGATTACATTACACATTTCTGAAGACAGATAGGCTGCATGAAAAATTAGTTTATGCAGGTATGCACCTGAGTTTTTGCCAAAGCCCTATCAGGATTAGTTGCAAGAGAAAGGGCCAACACGACCAGAAAGTATTGGCATACTGCTTAAGTGGCACAATGGACTATTACACAGTGTTAAGGATTTGTGAAAAAAGAAGGGATGCAAGTGCCCTGAGGTCAACACCGAAGCACACACAAGTCTTTCTTTGGAAGAACAGGTCGCCAGCGCCGTGGAGTCAGAGGTCCCGGCTAGACTTCATTTGGCAAAAAGGGCCACAAGCACCAAGCTCGGGGCGGGCGAGGGAGGAAGGAGGGCGGGCATCGAGAGGCCTATTTGCAGAGCCCCTCCAGTTTCTCCAACGCGCTCTTCATGTCCCGGATGCGCCTGGCAAGGGCCGGCACAGGCTGCATCTCTCGGTCCAGCTCCTCGCAGCGCGCCATCAGGGTGTACATGGAGCGGATGCTCGTGTCCACCGCCTCGCCCAGGCTGTCCACGCCGTCGCGGTAAGTATGGATGCAGCCGACGCTGAGGGCGGTCATGGCCTGCAGGGCGCCGTGCACGTTCCGCAGCAGGTCGTCCACGTTGGCGGCCACCTGGACAGCCACGGCCGCCAAGTCTTGCAAAGCCTGGGGATCGACGGCGGGAATCTGGCAGCCGGAGCTCGTCGAGGCGCTGAGTCGGATCTGCTCTTCCAAGTTGGTGGCCACGAAGTGGGTGAGACGGCCGGTGCCCTCCAGCCCTGAGCCGCCGAGCTGCTCTCCTAACCCATGCACGGTTTCTGATCCCTGCGGGGCAATCACCACCTCCCTCGCCGCCACCTCTTCACTCATAACTCGTTTCTCCCGGGTAACTTCCGACGACCCCCGGAGTCTCGTCTCGCCGCACCAACCCGACCCCCCCCGCCGAGGTTTTCCGCTCTTTATGCCTTTCCTGATTGGCCGGCAAATAAACAAAGGAGGCGTGGCCATAGTCTCAGTCTCTTCTGATTGGAGGTTGTTGCGAGCATACTGCGCAGCAATTCTATGCTCGTTCACACAGAATTCCATCTGACTTTTTAGGGGTCGAGTTCCAGTTGTATTTGGCAGGGCAGCCCGGAGAGGCTTTCGCAGAAGGGGCCCCAGCCCGCCATACCACTTTCGCATCCTCCTGCCGTGAAGTTAAAAAGAACTCCCCCTTGATAAGAGGGTGTGTCCCCAACTGTGTTTGTGTCTTCCTTCATTGGGAGAGACGTGGCCATCAACCACAGAGCTCCAGCTGATTGGGCAAAGCTTACAGGGAGGCGGGACCGCTCGTAATTCGTTTTGTTTTGGTTGGTGGGCAATGGGAAAAGGGAGGGATTTCTCTTGCAACAACAGTGGGGCGTTGTGGCCAGTCTCTTCACTCCCCCGCCATGTTCTCTTAGCAGCGGATCTGATCGCTTAGCCAGCGCAACCTCATAAAGCGCAAGTGGCTGTTTAGCAGTCATTTCCCTGCACTCCTTTTTTTTCCTTATCCACCAACTGAACTGTTTTTCTCCATATTTGCGCTTCGGCGCGCATCCTAATCTTTCTCCATGGTAACTACCATAGCGCCTTCGCCCTTTCTAGCCCGGGTGGCGGCCGGTCGCGAGGACTCCCGACGGTTTCCCACTACCCTATTTCAGCGCCTCATGAGGGCAGACTGCAACGGTGAAAGCCACCCGGCCGGCTGCTGCCCAGTGGGACCAGGCGGCAGCGCTCGGGCGGCGCTGAAAAGAGTGAGGCGACGAAGAGGGAAAATACGGTCTACCCCCTCGGGCCTTCTGCAGAGCCGCTACCAGCAATATCAACAACACCGCGCCGGCTTGAAGCAAAGAAACACCGCGCACGGGACGCGCAATCTCTACGAAGTCCCCCTTGCCTCTGCAGAGGCCAGGCTGGAAACCGTACCGACTGAGGAAGCTCGGGCAGCTTCCCCGAGAACAGCCCCCGTCACTATCAGCAAACCCCTCAGGAAAGAGGTAAGGAAGCTGGAGCAGTGGGGTGGTGGGTGTCCTGGAGGGAAAGAGTGGGGAACCGTTGTTTGGCTCAGCGTGAACTGGGGTGGAGGGGTGGGCGAGAGGGACTGAGGGAAGGAGGAGGCTTGCGTAGGCGCTGTGTGACGGTTGAGGCGGGGAGGGAGGAAGTTTCCGTTACGTCGTCACCCCTTTCGTGAGGAAAAGCGAAGGGAGATTCTGTGCACGCTGATAGGTTCAAATAATCCACCAATCAGGGCTTCGGCTGCGCCCAGCAACAGCCCGATATAGCCCGTTGGCGGCGGCGGCGGCAGAGAAAGGCGTGATGGCGCCGCGGCGCCCAATGGAAGGCAAGGGACCGAGGAGAGGGAGAAAAGGCTTTGCTCGGCCTGCCTTCAGTAGCGAAGTTGGGGGCGGCCGTGGGGTCGCAGGGGCAGAATGGGGACGATATTGACGTTGCTGGTCAAGGGCTGCCCCCCCTCCCAGGTCTTTCCTTCCTTGTTCCCTCTTTCGTGCCGTTACCTAGGACGCCTTCTGGTTAAGCTAGTTTGCAAATCACCGAAAGAAAAAAAAAGAAACAGTAAAGAGTATGTCAGGGACCGATGAGCTGCTTGTTCTGCAGTCATCCAAGCCGGGCAAAGGGCAGTACGCCACATTTGGCAGCGTGTCGGTATCGTATCTTACCAGTTCTCTGAAAACAACTTTTGAGTTCTTAGTTGTAGACTTCTGAATGGCGTGCCTAGCGGAACTGAGATCGGACACGGCAGTCTTTTGTGTCGCAGCTCCCGTCCTCATCGGGCAGATGGGCTGCAGGGGGCCACACCGCTCTTTAGGTTGCCTTAAATAGGCCTGGGATGGCAGTTTGATCCACTCAGGGGTCTACCTGCACTCCATCCTTGTCCATAACTGTCTTGTCTTGAGGTTCTTTTTTAGGTCTCTCCAGTTTGCAGGTGTTTTCCCTTCTCCTTTTTATTCTGGGTGACATAGCACTGCATCAGTGTTGCAGCCTCTATTCTCGTTTTGAAGGAAAGAAGCTAGTCTAGTGTTTGTGTGGCAAAGCTAAAGTCACCAGATGGAAGGCAAACCACACGTGAATAACAAACCAGCAAGGCTCCAGTGTCTATGTAATGCAGCACTAAATTACAATGATTTATTTTTAAAAACTGAAAAAGGGAAACAGTTTGGACACCAACCACAGCTACTGATTTCCCAATGGGACAGTGTCTTGCACCATCTCTGACACATCACTATGTCAGCACAGGGAATGCCCCTAGCTGCACAATGCCATGGCAGAACCTTCCATTCACACAAACAGAAATAGATTAAAAAAGAAAAAAGAAACCTGTAGCACAATTTAAAATAAATTACCTTCCAGTGAGTGTTCAAAAAGAAATGATTCCTCAAAGAAAAGTGTGAGTCTTCCCCCCAACAGTAATGTTGGGTAATCTTGACATTTTGAATCAGTTTACATTATGCTATACCCAGAGTAGTTGGAGGAGTATATTGTAGTGAAGTCAGGCTTTAGTAACTGAGTAGGATTGCAACTTAAATGCCTTTCAACAGAAGCAGTCTTCATCATTCAGGAACTTAATGCTAGGCTTTCAAGAAATAGAAAGGGCTTTCAAACAAGGTTTTTATTATCCCTTTTCTCTTGTTTTTATATGTGGAATTTTATGGGGACTCAAATGAGGATTTATCTTCACAGTTTTTCTTACAATTACTTTGTTACTGTTTTTCTTATCAAACAGTTAAGGGTAATGTTATAGCTCTGTCTGAAAGCAGCCAGACTAGTAAACAGTGGTCTGATTCAGTAGAAGATGTCTCCATGCACTTGCCTAATAGTGTCATCCAGTAGATATTTAGACAGAAATCCTTAACATTCATACATCAGTGGAAGCACGTGCACACAATTTGAAATTTCAGAGTTCTGAGTAGGCATCCCTAGAATTAAGCTGCTACTAGTATCTTTTGTAATTCACAGCTTGTTTGTTTTTGTTTGCTCGTATTTTTATCCTCTGCCAGAAAAGTTAAGTCTTCAAAATAATATACAGTATATTAATTGTGAGACAGAGGCCCTGCGTTGAGGTAGACACATTTTTTAAAAAACAGAGAAAGACAAAGAAGATGGAGTAAGGAAAGAGATTAATTTGATGCCAAAACTAATTGGTAAATTGTAGGCAGATGTGTGCATCCAGTTAAAGTCAGGTTGCTCTTCATTTGGTGGTGATCCTTATGTGGATGCAAGCTGTGCTGTTTCCAAGTCTTAAAGTGAAAAACCAGGGGGAGTGTATTTCAGTAATATATTTGATGCCAGTCAAACTTTCCCCCCTTCTCTTTTTTTCAGCCCCCATATTGCCCCCCCAATCCCCATTGCAGAGTGTTTCCCAGTCTTCTGGAGTCATTTGGGGTCATTGGGGGCTGCAGTTGTGGGGGAAACAATGGAATCCAGTGGAGGTTCTGGATCTAGTCCACTGGATTCTGTCATGATTGTATTTGCTCCATTTCTGCTCTCACAGGGCAACTGGGAAAAATTGGAAATTTTTCTGGCATGGAGATAGGAAAGGGGCATGTGCCTTGCAGCTCCAATTTCCTTAGCTAAACTGGGGCCAGGATGATTTTACCATGATGTAGTAGGCTTCCTGGAATATAGGTGGTGTCCATTTTAGTGGATTTCAGCTACAGAAAAACTAACTTGGAATATCCCATTCGCTGAAACTAGTGTGACTTACTTTCAAGTAAATGTATTTAGGCTTGAGGTGCAAGCTTTTATAGTACTTGTTGAGCCTCAGAATAAAATCTCAACAAATTAGGAACGATTTTGTTGGGTATACCTAGCTAATACATTTGTAAAGATAGTCCTATAAATAGGGAAGAGCATTTCATGTGAAAAAAGTGGTCATAATGCTGCAACATAGTAAGGACACAACATGGAGTCACCCACTGAAGCTCAAGGATGAAAAATCTCAGGACCAATAGAAAGTATTGTTTCACACAGTGCCTAGAATTGTGGAATTCGCTTCTTTGCAGCATGAATGACTGTAAATGAGGATTAGACAAAAACATGGCAGAGGGACTATCTTTGGCTGCTATAACTTTGTATCATCTCCAGTACCAGAAACTGAATGCCTCTATGTACTAGTTGCTGGGAAATGTTGAGGAGGAAAGAGTTGTTGCACTTGTGTTTCTGGACTTCCCAGAGATGACTCACTACCTGATATATAAATAAAGTCTTGTACCAGATAAAAAATTTGAAAGTACCTAACTGTTGTGTTGTTTTCTGCATTTCTTTGTATAAGGTAGCATCATTTAACTTATGAAAAGTGAATGAATTTGAAGTAAGGTAACTTTGAAGCCACATATTATATACATAACTGTGGTTAAATATAACTATTTCCCCTTTATCTTTGCAGTTGCTGAAAAACAGAATGGGGAAGTCTGAAAAGGTTTCTATTCCTTACAGTCAGCCTGTGCACAGTACACATCTTTGTGACCAGTCCAAGACTAACAGACAGAGGAACAAGTGTAATATACCACTGAACAAAGTTCCATCCACCAAAAAAAGTGAAAACAACTTCTGGCAAGAATCTGTGTCACATGACACTATTAAAAAGCAGGAGAAGCCTCTGAAAGACACAGGAAATGTGAAATCAAAGAAACCCATCTTTATGACTGATTCTAGCCAAAAAGAAAACTATGCTGGGGCAAAATTTAGTGACCCTCCTTCACCCAGTGTCCTTCCAAAGCCTCCCAGTCATTGGGTAGGAAGCACTGTTGAATACTCTGACCAAAACAAGGAAATGATGGCAGTCCATCTAAAAACTCTCTTAAAAGTTCAAGCCTAGTTTATTGATACTTACCATGAACATTCTAAATATTTGAAACCTGCCTTGTTGCAAAATGATGTGCAGAAAATCATCAACTCTTAAAAATCACAAACTTGTGCTATATTTTTTATGATTGTGTAAATAGTGTATATGTAATGTGTATATTCATATTTTCAGGCACATTTTAGTTTTGTTATGAGAAGATGTATTTTACATTGCCTCCGGGCAGACTGTTTTTGTATATAACAGTGGAAACCGAATATGTGTGTAACACGTGGAAAGATCTGGCAGTGTTTACACAAGGTTCCGAAATATTGAAAGGAAAGCTTTCATCTCAAGGTTCAAACAAAAATGTAAAAACATACTAATGCACTACTGAAAATGTTTACAATTGGCACAATACTTTATTGAGTAAGAAGCATTCTCCAAAAAAATTTTTGTTTGAAATAGTTCATAAACTATTGAGTTAAATTGAGTTCTTTCTTGGCAAAGATCAATTTGGAATTTGATTTATGCATCACCCCTTACCAATTTAGCAATGCTAATTCTCTAAAAAAGAGCTACCAGAGACAATTGGAAACAAAAAATTTAAATAAATAATTTGGCCTCCCCTAAAAGGTTGTCATTCTTTGTGAGTTGTTCTGGCTGAGTGAATAATCTAACAGCAGCAGAGTATTAAGATGTATCACTGTCTTTTCTGTCTTACGGCTTTTCTCTTTCAAATATTACAACTGCAATTCCTAAGCATCCAATGCAACCTCTGTCACTTTTTGATTAATTACTTGCAGCACAGTCCTATACATTTCTACCTACAGAGTTCCATGGGGTTAACTCCCAGGAAGCTACATGCAGAATTGCATCTTTAGTTGGTTTTAAATGCTGAGTGGTGTTTAGCTCTCACCAGTGGCAATATCAATGGTAGTTCTTGCATTTACAAAAAGAAAGCACATTCTCCACACTCCTTCTACTCAAGGAAGGTCCACATCTGAAAACAGCCTCTGCCCAGATTTCATTATTGGATTTGAAACTGAACACACAGACTGGATGGCAATGCAGACTATAATACATATGCACAAGTAGCAGTCACGATGACTCCCCATTTAGATTGTGTGGTAAGGCAGCAGTTGTTAACTATCAACAGTCCCATTCCCTTTTTGCTGCTTGTTCATATGTGTGACAACTGGTTATTGTGGCTTGCTTGAGGTCATTTCAAGGAAGGACTAAAGCAAGTTGAGATGCGTAGCAGCCACCTTAAACAGAATAATCTTGAGTTCAGATTGGGAAGCATAGTAGAATTATTTTTAGTTTTAAGCAAACGAAATATAAAACTTCAAAATTCTCTCAATCTTGGACCAAAACTTACAGAGGTTATTTCTTGATTGTTCACCTCTCAGAGTCCTATTTTGCAAGAATTATTCAACCACATGGTAAACTAGATAGACAAAAAGACAAAGTGTTATTCATGCCCACGAGGTAAAGACATCTGCCACTAACTTTATTGGGAAGTGGACTGCAGAACCCAAGAGTGGGAATGGAGGGAGATGACATTAGGTAACATAGCCAGTGCCAAATTTATTGCTAAATGTGCCCTTCCCCCCCCTCAGAAGTTAAAGCTTTCTTGCTGACTCAGGTTTAGATTATACCATTCTGCTTAACTTTTTTCCAGTTGTGTTTCTCTGCAAATAGTATGCACAATCAAAAACAACATTGGATCATCATCAGATAATTTTTGAAACATATTCAAATAATCACCCTGATTCTGCATCCCAAAATGTAGAATTAAAGAGACCCTGAAAGCACTACTTTCCAAAGCAAATGGTACTAAATATATGACTAAATATATCATTTCAAAAAATGTGGCAATAAATTCAGGCAATCTGTTAAATAGAATATATAGGACTTTGATCATTGATCATTTTAGAATTGCTCCAAGTTCAGCCCTTGTCAAGGAGGAATAGTGGGGAAGCAACTCCCAGCTTCTAGCTCTGCAGCCAGATACCTAAACCACTAAGCTATCCAGCAGTTTTAATTTAAGCAAGAAAACATTTTATTTAAAGCAAATCTTCATTCTTTATCCACATAAAACAGTTTGAGCCCTCCAAACGATAACCCCTCTAATGCACTTAATTATCCCATATAGTAAAAAAAACAACTGTAGAATGTTCTCAAATGTTTTCCCTGTGGTATTCTACCTTCAGGTTAAGGGTACAATCCAGTTAAAAGTGTTAAGTAACACCTTCTTTGTGGCCTCTGAATCCACACAAATGGGTTAGACTGCGCCTGCGCAGGACTCCTCGGAATCTTCTAGAGCTTAAAAACGTGATTAGTAGGATGTTTCACCGTGGTGCGCATGTTCTGCCCACCCGTAATATCTCGGTTCCTTCTTGCCACCGCTGAGATCTGACTCGAGATAGACATCTAGTGCTGTTTTGAATTGTTACCTATTTCACGTTTTTTTGATGTGGTCTGGCTTCCTGACTACCGTTTGTGTTTCTGGAATGCTTTGACCTTTGGACTGGCTTTGTTTACTATTACGATTGCCGGATTTGGATTGACTACCTTTTTGTGATTTCTGGATTACTGACCTTTGGATTGATTACTGTTTCTGCTTACAGACTTTATCATGATTTTTGGCTTCTAATCTATTTTGGCTTTTGACTTGGACTGGCAATTGTTGACGTTTTCCCGTGAGTTGTTCTCTTTTTTCCCCCTCCCCTCTCTTCCCGCCAATTTTTATGGCCTCATCAGGTCCCTTTAAATGCTGTATGTCATGTACTAATAAGATTCCCTTCACAGACTGCCACGACCACTGCTTATTTTGTTTAGGGGAGAGGCACCAGACACACTCCTGTCTGGAGTGTAAGAAGTTGACCAAGCCTGCCTTTAAGCATTGTTACATCTATGCCTCTTCTTCCTCCCCATTGCCGTCTTCTCCTCAGCATTGACATTGAGCTTATTATCAGCTCGACCCTCCACCATCGAAGTCTGCTTCTAAATGTCATTTATCTCAGCAAGCGGTCCATCCGTCGAAGCGTTCTCATGTCCCTTCAGTACCATCGTTCTCAGTATCGCAACTGAGAGCATCTCACATCCGGTTTTCTTGTCAAGGTGCTTCTTCAAAAATTTCTCATCGACCTGAAACACACCGGCACCGATTCCTCGAGCTCCAGCCCATGTATGAAGAAGTCATCGTCACTTGCCTTCTCCACCTCTTTTTGTTGCGAGGGGTTCTTCAGTATTGTTGATCTCTGAACAGGATCCACATTCAGAGGCTTCCAGGGAATCTCCTTCAAATCTGCCAACTCCTGATTCAGATGTTGCTGATCTCCATCTCCATCTGATTACATCATACTCGCAGTTGATTCTCTGCATAGCTAAATCCTTGGAACTTGATATAGAGCAACCCCCTCCTCCCAGGCAGGATCTCATCTTTGACGACATTAACCAAGATAAGTCCCCCCCCCGGTTGAGTTTGGCTTTCATTCCAGCTATGCTGGACCTCATAAAAGAATAATGGAATCAACCGTCCATGTCTCCAGATTTCTAGGAATGTTGAGAATCATTACAGAACACATGGCAGTGACACTACTTTCCTCACTAAACATCCCACACCTAATTCTATCATAGTACAATCTAATCAATCATGGGCTGCAAACTGGTCACAGGTTACACCCACCAACAGAAAAAGGTGGAAGCTGAATGTTCTGGGCCATCGGCTTTAGTCTCTGGCGTCATTTGTCATGAGAGTATCAAATTATCAGGCAGCTATGGGGCTTATCAGAGGCAGTTATGGAATAAGGTTTTGCCAGTTCTTCAGGCTGCTCCTGAGGAGACTAGGGCCAATGTTTTCAATGCTTACCTGGAGGTGACAACGATGGCTAAACACCGTTTAGCATCCCGTCACACGGCTGATGCAGCATCTAAGGCCATGACATTGGCTAGTGCACTCAGGAGGCATGCTTGGCTGTGTTCAGTGGGGATCACAGATGATGCTAGGTCCCGCATTGAAGACTCCATTTGACGGAGTTGGCCTGTTTAATGAGAAGACAGATGAGGTGATGAACAATTTACATAAGATCCGAAAGACAGCTTGTTCTTATTCTGTCCAGCAGCCACGATACCAACGCTACCAGTGGCACAGACCCTTCAACGCTCAACACTCATATCAGCAACCTACCCATCAGGCCTATCATTCTTACAGACCTCCTGCTCAAGAGAGGTCCAATCTTCCTCCGGCTTCTGCTGCTACCACTACTTTCAGATCACAGGCTCCTGTCCAACGTTGCCAAACCTTCCATCGTCCTGCAAAGAAAAGTATATAGTATTTTTGACTGTCCTATTCTGAACCACCCACCCGACCTTTCCCATCATCCCCAGCTAGCCCCTTTCTTCAACAAGTGGTCTATCATCACCAAAGATACTTGGGTGCTTGCCATCATACATTCTGGTTATCTCTTGGAGTTCACAGATCTTCCTTCTATCGGCCACCTCAAACTCACAGCTTACTCACCTGCTCTAGAGGACGAGGTATCTGTTCTTCTATGGAAGCATGCTGTTCAACGCGTTCTTCCTCAAGAGGTTCTAGATGGTTTCTATTCCTGCTATTTCATGGACGATGGTCTCTGACCGATCCTAGATCTCAGACTACTCAATACTTACCTTCATCCAAGATGCTTCCATATGGTCACCCTGGAATCTGTCATTCCACCTCTCTCTGAGCAATTGGTTTGTTGTTATAGACCTAAAGGACACTTATTTTCATATATTTATTTATTTATTTATTTATTTATTTAACTAACTAACTAACTAACTAACTAACTAACTAACTAACTAACTAACTAACTAACTAACTAACTAACTAACTAATATGCCACCCACACTACCCGAAGGTCTCTGGGCGGCTTACAACATTCTTCTTCATGGGGTCAGCTTACCAGTTCTGTGCCCTACCATTCAGGCTTGCCACCACCCCAAGAACCTTCACAAAGTGTTTGGCCCCCATAGCAGCCTATCTTCGTCTTCACAACATCACGTTTTTTTCCTGTATATAGATGATTGGTTGATTGTTGCTGGTTCTTACAGCAAAGCGCTAGAAGATACCAACTTTGCCCTCTGAACTCAACTTTGCAAAGTCTCATCTCCAACTGTCTCAGACCATGGACTATATTGATGCTCACCTAGATTCCATCAGAGTCAGGGTCTTTCTTCTGACTGAGAGGATTCACAAATGAAATCAAGCTATTCATCCATTTCGCCCTTATGCTCACCACACACAACATCTCTTAGATCTCATGGCTTCGACCATGTCTGGTCTTCCTCACGCTCTGTTGAAAATGGGTTCTCTACAGGTGTGGTATCTGTTGGACAACTCTGCCAAACGCCTACGTGTCACTCCAGAGCTCGCAAGTCAAATCACGACAGACACCAGCCCAATGGGCTGGGGCGCACACTGTGGCACTCACGAGATCCATGCTCTATGGTCCAGCGCAGAGTAGTTGTTACATATCAACCATCTAGAAATGTTCGTGGTGATCAAGGCTTTCCATGTTTTCTTTCCTTTTGTGGTTGGTCATGGAGTACAGGTGGTCACAGACAACATGACCACTCTGTATTACAT